ACGTATTTGGGAGGCCTATCGTCAGTTGCAAAGCGCAGAAGGTTGAGAAAAAGAACACGTGAGAGGAGACTGTGTGAGAAGGCTGGTGCAGGGCATTGCTTCAAAAGGGCAGAATGTTGCCTCCATTGTCTATCCTATTTCCCCACCCCCAAAACTCCTATAAGCACTGTTTCCGTAGGACAAAATGCTGAGACTAGGGGTATATGAGGTGAACTACTTAAACTACCTTTCTTAAATTTTGGCATAATGCCGGCTGGATGGTCTTACGCACGTTGAAGCACAACTTAAGTAAAAGGGAAATAAACCTTTCACTAAATGAGAGCGTGAAGAAAACATTGATTATAAATTGTTCACGAAAACGAGAATCATAAAGTGCCAAGGAAAACAACAAGGTGATGCATATTAGTTGATTAGAACCCCACCTGTTGGAGACTGCTGCACCGGAGCTATCGTAGCCTAAAAGTGAAAAAAATCAGCAACGTAATTCGTAATAACATGCAAAATGCAAGGACCAGCAGGTGGCGAACATTGAGAGTTGTCATTTCCCATGCTTAATGAAAGACTACCCTGCGTTAGGTAAAAACAATCAGTGTGTTCCGGTTCGGCTTCTCATGTGGTTTCTGACATAATAAGAAGGCCTAGGAAAGTTCAATCTGATAAAGACTTCTGTTAGATAATATGCAGTAAGCAGTGCGCTGCAGGTTAAATGACTCTCCTCATCAATATAGAAACGCCGATTGAGATCCGACCTATTAATTACGTTGAAGATTTACACTCAAGGAGTTGAAACCTACCAGGTTCCCAGTAGTTATATTGAGCACGGCACAGAGGCGACCAAGAAGTTTTGACGGAGCAAAACAGCTTCTAACTTTATGTCCTATGACATTGCGTCATATATGAGTGACGGCACGAAACCAACAATTTTTAGCTTGCCAGACAGACTGGCGACCAACGGAATTTCGAAAGCATAAGATAGCACAGCATTTGTAAATGCACCAAAAGGCGTCCATCGTTTTTTTGGTAAAAACTTATAAGGATCTTACCAATACCGTCTGAGCAGTCCGTAGATTCAGTGTTAGCATTTAGCATAGGGCCAAGTTGACATTCTGCCGTAGGGTGAAACGTGTAAATGAATGAATCGTCGAACGAGAGCGGTCATTTTCACCTAGAGGCTATGATATAGTTCAGATTTTTAATTTCCTGAGAAATTAATTTCTGTTCTTGGTATGTATAAGTATATTTAAGGTCTATAGGCATAGACCGAAATTGTAAGTGTATATTTGGGTTGAAACCCGTCAACTACTGCGAAATATGCACTTGCTGCCAACAGACAGAATTAAGTAGTATATACTGATGTTGAGACTTAGAATACTTTTAGCTAGTACCTAGGCTGTTAGTATGCTAAGTTACAACATCAATGTAT